CAGTGTCGGGCCAAGTAGCCTCCCCTAGCCCAATAGTGGAGGACTGTGAGGCAGGCTAGGACTAGCTAGGAAGTGTATCCTTAGCTAGTCGGGTGAGGGGGCCGCTACCCCCTCCAGTGCTGTATGTCACAAACGAGTTGTGCTAAATAAATATACGTGTGCCTCCACCTCGGCGTCAAGTGTCTTCACCGGTACTTCATTCGCGAGGGACGCGCGTGTGTGGGATTAGATCATCACGGGAGCACGTGGGATCTGACTCATCACAAGCAGCACGCCCTGCTGACTCATCATGACTAAATACAACAACAACAAGGCTACCCACTCGATAAAAGGGCTTGCCACAGACACTGCAGTGGTGGTGGGGAGTTCATTCCTCACCTTGTGCTGCCAGCCAGCCTGCCTACCTGTATACCAGCCTGCCTACCTGTATACCTGCCTGTCTACCTGCCTGCCTGTCTACCTGCCAGCCTGTCTACCTGTATACCTGCCAGCCTGCCTGCCTGTCTACCTGTCTACCTGCCTGTCTACCTGCCTGTCTACCTGCCTGTCTACCTGCCTGCCTGTCTACCTGCCTGTCTGACTACCTGTCTACCTGCCTGTCTGTGTACCTGCCTACCTACCGACCTACCTGCCTGCCTGCCCACCTGTCTACCTGCCAGCCCGCCAGCCCGCCCGCCTGCCAGCCTGTCTACCTGCCCACCTGCCTGTCTACCTGCCTGCCCGCCTGCCAGGCTGCGTGCCTGTCTGTCTACCTGCCAGGTGAGATGGTGCCGACGACGGGGAAACTCGTTTGCGATCGCCGTCTATTTGATTAGGAATGGGGCCACATTGCGGATGCGGTTTCTTTTCGTCTTCACGCGAAAGGATTTCGTTCCTTAGCCGCTTCGCCCCGAAGGTACGTGTGTGTGTATGTGTGTGTGTATAACACTGTGTGTGTGTATAACACATTACCAGTGTTGTGTGTGTGTGTGCAAGTGTTAGGTTCGATTCCCGCTCACGGCCAACACCGGTGACGATTATCTGAACCGGTCATGGGCCTCCCCTAGGTCTACTCGGCCTCATGAGTGCCTGGTACGCCACTGTGTGTGTGTGTATAACACTGTGTGTGTGTGTATATAACACTGTGTGTGTGTGTATATAACACTGTGTGTGTGTGTATATATATAACACTGTGTGTGTGTGTATATAACACATTACCAGTGTAATGTGCTATTCAGTGGCCTAAAATAAAATGTTTCGCTCCGGATGATCGCTGCAAAGTATAACCTGTGTTTTGATTTAGTGTGCTGATCTTAAAGGTGCATTGAAAAATGTTGATACTCCGATTGATGCTGCTGCTGTTGTGGAGTGACTCATGCAGCAGCCAGCTGTGGCTGCAGGGTTCTGGTGGTACATGTTGTTTATGTCGTTTATTGTGAAAATTCCGTCACAGTTCCTATGATCACTGCTTCATTGCTTTTATTTTGGTGATTTCGAAAAGTTTACTGGTTTGACCACGTTTGTTGTAGTACGGAGTAAGACTGATGGCCTTAATCTAAGTTGTCTTGTGGTTGTTGTTGTTGTTTGACTTGCATCCCACTGGGATGTTTGCACAGCGTTGGTGTAACGGTGTTTTTTTCTGCAACATTTTGCTGTCGTTTCTTGGATTTTCTGTTTGCACTCAGTCACATAGTCACTTTTAGATGTTTTCTTGTTCATGTTTTTGTCTTTTGTTTGTTGCGGTTGCACCCAATTCAAGAGCCGAATGCCTCACAGCGCTACACCTAGTACTTGAACTTGAACTTGAGATGTTAACTCCTTGCCTGGTACGCAAGCGGTCGTGGGTTCGATCCCACGTACCACACGGGGTCATTAACATCTCCCAGCCACCGTTATGATGATGATGACGATGACGATGAGCGAGACATGAAAACTAAAAAGATACGGCAGCAGGCATCGTCAGGGTCGGGATCGAACCCACGACCTCTTGCGTACCAGGCGAGGGCGTTAACATCGTCACGGCCCGCGTCTCTTGTGCGCAGCGCAGCTGACCACGAGGATTGCGATGGGCTCCCTGCGCTGCATGGACTGCTGCCCTCTGCTGGGTCTCTGCGTCTTGACACAGCTGTGGGCAGTGGGCAGCTCCTCTTGGTGGTAAACGCGAGACGCCAACGCTGCTGTCTTCCGCCTCACTGCTGCGACGATCGCACAAGTTTCGACGTTAAGCAACCTTCTTATCTCGCCAATATGTTGCACACCCCATACGGTTGTTGTACGGGAATGTTTGTTTTATCTCGTGCGTGTGTGTATATACACTAGGTACACAATGTCTAGCGGGCACCACGGTGGCTAGGAGATGTTAACTACCTCGGCTGTTATGCAGGAGGTCGTGGGTTCAATTGCGACCTTATAACACGCCGTATAGTTAGAGTTGCTATGTTTTCCCCGTGGTCGTATAAGCTTTTTTTTATTCTGTGGTCCTCCGGCCGGGTACGTGTACCCGTTTGCGACCCTGGTGCGGCTGAGTACGGGTACGGGTAGGCCGTGAGTCACTGGTGAGTCACCGTTTGTCACTCATTTCCCAACGTCTTGTCTCTTCTCACAATTCAAGTTCCTGGAATCAACCCACCCGCGCCTGCAACATGGCTTCATCCCAGAGGTCGCAATCGGGTATCCGTACCTGTACCCTACCCGGCCGGGTACGGGTAGCCGGGTATCGGGTAGGGTACGGGTATCGGGTACCCGGTTGCGACCTCTGGTGTGTGTATACATGGCGTAATAATATTCACATTTAAAACCTGTAGAAATTCCACAGATAGCTCTTTGACATTGTATATTGCAGCTCTCTCTCTCTCAGGAGTGGTCTGTCTGTCGCACATTGTAGCTCAAGGGAGTGGCCGATATAAATGACCACGTGATGATGATGATAGCGGCAGCCGGATTAGCCCCAAACGCGTAGAGACGTTGATTCTAAATGCGAAGGAGGAGGAGGAAAAACCAGAGGGACCTGGAGAAAAATCCACGCGACCACGGGGAGAGACACACAAACTCAACACGTACATGCAGCAGCAGGCATTTTTTAAAATCCTTTATATTAAGTTTGCGTGCTTGCTTGCTTACGACCGTGCAAATCTTTCGCTCGTTTTTGAACCCACTTCCCGTGATCCAATCGAGCTGACATTTTCCACACAGACTCGTTGTGTGTGACAAATAATTTTCGTGAAAAAATTTTTCCAAAATTTTACACTGTTTAGGGAAAACAAATTAAATATTTAATTACCAATTGCTTAATGGTGGCAGACAATCATCTGACCCATAGGTGGCAGCCATCTCAAGCCAGAGGACGAGAAGACTCTAGCCGCCACGCATATAAAGGATTTATAGTGAAAAACTTTGTTTTTACGGGTTTACTTGTAAGGGGTTGGGATCGAACCCACGACTGCCTGCGTACCAGGCGAAGTAGTTAACATCTCCTAGCCACCGTGATGATGATGAGAGAGAGACACGCAGACTCCAAATATACAGCAGCAGGCGTCCAGGTTCGGGATCGAACCCACGACCTCCTGTACACCAGGCGAGGTAGTTAACATCTCCTAGCCACCGTGATGGTGATGAGAGAGAGACACCCAAACTCCAAATATACAGCAGCAGGAGTCAGGTTCGGGATCGAACCCACGACCTCCTGTACACCAGGCGAGGTAGTTAACATCTCCTAGCCACCGCGACTCCCACCCCTCTGCAGGCCGCTTGCGCAGTGGGCCCTCCACTCTAACACCACCGAGTATCGGCCGCTGTGCATCGGGGCTCCGGGACTATCCCCCGTGCAGCGCAAAATGTGCCTGCGCCGCCTGGACCACGTGCACGCGGTGGTGCAGGGCGTCCGGCTGGCGCTGCATGAGTGTCGCGACCAGTTCAAGGGCAAGCGGTGGGACTGCACCGCGCCTGGCGCGGAGAACGCGCCGGACCCCACGGCCGAGTCGGGTAAGGGGACCGTCGCCCGGGGTCGGAGCCTCCGCCGGCAACAAGCGAGTTTCCCCTCGACCAATAGGTGGTTTTCCCCTTTTTTCTGGCAACAAAACTGACACCTTTTGCAAGGAATCATGCTTACATTAACCACTATACTCGCAGTCAAATACAAACAAAAAAACAATACTCTGATAATGTATGCATTGTCTTTGAAACTGATTGGTCCACACCAGAGACAGCTTTCTTTAGAGCCTAGTCCCATATGGTGTTCGACCAGATGACGCCAAAAGGCGCACATGATTCCGTGCAAAAGGTGTCAGTTTTATGCCAGATAAAAGGGGAAAACCCCTATGAGTATATGTTGGTACTGGCAAAGGAGGTCCCGTGATTTCCCCTCGACGTTGACGTTTGTTCACCCGCCACGTCCACTCGCACCGAAGGTCTCCTGCCGCTTCCCCGAGACGCACACGAGCTGCGTGGGGGGGGGGGGACGGGGGGGGTACGTCCAGCTCCCCATGGCAACTCTCTCCGCTTCAGAGCTGCCGCGTGCCTCCTCCTGCAGGGGGGTCCCCCTCCCCTACGCCACTCGGCTTGTGGGCAGGATTCGTTTATACCAGAGGTCGCAAACGGGTTGTGATTCCTTACCCGTACCCGGCCGCACCAGGGTCGCAAACGGGTACCCGTACCCTACCCGATACCCGTACCCTACCCGTACCCGGCCGGGTATCGTGTAGGATACGGGTATCGGGTACCCGATTGCGACCTCTGGTTTATACTCAATCGTCATATGGCCGTGTCAGTGCGCATATGGCTGCGACGCTGTCACACAGATATATGATGACTGACCCAGAAGTCGAGAGCATTATACAATCAATACAGATCGCCTGTGCGTAGTTGCGCTACGTAACGGCGTGCTCTTAATAAGTCGCCCACTGCAACACTTGTGAAAACAACAACACGACGACAACAAAAAGGTACTTCACTTTTCTTTTGCTGCTTCAGAGTTCACTTTTATTACTCCTTGGTTTTATTTGGAGAAGTCACGTCGGTGAAACATTAAAACAAATCAAATCGCAACGTTTCGGGCGCAACACAAGCGACCAACGAAAAACGACGCAAACTCCCTCGGCCTTGCTGCCCGGGGCCTACTCCTTAGGCCTCGTCCTGGGGCCGACTCCTTAGGCCTCGCCCTGGGGCCCACTCCTTAGGCCTCGCCCAGTGGCCCACTCCTTAGGCCTCGCCCCGGGGCCCACTCCTTAGGCCTCGCCCCGGGGCCCACTCCTTAGGCCTCGCCCCGGGGCCTACTCCTCAGGCCTCGCCCCGGGGCCTACTCCTTAGGCCTCGCCCCGGGGCCTACTCCTTAGGCCTCGCCCTCGCCCGTGGCCGCACCCTCGCTTATGGCCGTACCCTCGCCCATGGCCACGTCTGCGGCCTCAGAGAAGTACGGATGGTACAGGGCGACAGACGCGGAGATGCGCTTGCGGGGGCTGAAGGTCAGCAGGTCCTGCGGGAGGCACGGCCGTGCGTGCGGAGGGCGCGGAGAGACACGGAGAAACACGGAGAAACACAGAGAGACACAGAGAGACACAGACACACAGAGAGACACGAGACACAGAGAGACACAGAGAGACACAGAGACACGAGACACAGAGAGACACGAGACACATAGGCACAGAGACACAGAGAGACACAGAGAGACACAGAGACACAGAGAGACACACAGAGACACACAGAGACACACAGAGACACAGAGAGACACAGAGAGACACAGAGACACAGAGACACGAGACACGAGACGAGAGACACAGAGAGACACAGAGAGACACAGAGACACAGAGAGACACAGAGACACAGAGAGACACAGAGAGACACAGAGACACGAGACGAGAGACACAGAGACACGAGACGAGAGACACAGAGAGACACAGAAAGACACAGAGACACACAGAGAGACACACAGAGACACACAGAGACACGATGCGTTATTGCCCGCTTGACGGTAACCCCCGTACGGACACGCATCTGAACAACGCGTCGTTCGACCGCCGCGACAATTGCCACCGCGTACAATCCGCCCGCGTCTCACCAGCATCAGCGCCATCGCCAAATTCTGGTTGTCCGGCGCGACCTCCGGCCCGACCTCCGGCGTGGAGTCAGCCAGAGCCCGCGGGGGAAGGGCAGCGCGGAGGCCGGCAAAAGCGGTGTGCGGCAGGGAGGCTCCGAGCGGCCACTCCTCCAGGCTCGGCACGCCCAGAAGACTGGGCCACGGGGGCCACGGGGGGGTAGGGGGGGTGACGGTGAGAATTCGGCTGTTGACTATCAACCCAATTTCATAAATGTGTAATGCGGTTGTAAACGGCCCTTCTGAGGTGCCGTCAGGGGGGGAGGAGTTAGGTCACGTGGGGGGCAGAGGGGTTGAGTATAGAAGGAGGGGAACCGGAAGAGCAAGGGGAGTGACGGGGAACCAGGAACAGAGGAAGGCCACGAAGGGCGAAGCGGGGTGTGGCGAGATCGCCACGAACACGGGGGGAGCGAGGATCGGCACCGTTGGCCAGCGGTGACCGACCCGAAGCAGCGAGGAGGCTGCAGTCAGCAGCGGGGCTGCACAGAGAGGGTGGGCAGCGGGTCTGCATATAGTGACAGCCAGAGGGTCTGCACATAGGGGTAGCAGCGGGAGTCTGCATAGGGGTAGCAGCGAGTCTGCAGGGAGGAGGTTACAGTAGATGAAGCAGAGAGTCAGAGGGGAGAGGAAGCTATAATAGCAGTGAATAGCCGGGGGCTACAAATACAGGAGTTATAACAGAGTGCCGTGTGGGTAAAGACGTGAACCTGAATAAAGACACGAAGACAGAAAGAAGTGTTCGAGTCCTTTTATTACACTGGAGTCAGAAGTGAAACGGCATGGCGAAACAACTGAGGAAGAAGAATATCCCATCTCCGGCGTCGGCTTCATCATCGGACGACGACGATCTTCCTCCTGAGGTCGGCTTCACTTCGGCGGAGGGAGAGATCCGTGAGGGCCCGGGTGTGGAGGAGGTTGCCGCTGCGCCCGACCCATCTGCGTTGAAGGACGAAGATTTAAGATGGACCCGGATGGCGGAGCAACTGGCGACCCTAAAAACCGTCATCACGGAGTTGTGTGACCTTGTCACGCCAAGGGCGGCGTTGGAAGGTGATGGTGGTGATCGGCAGGAGCCCGGGTCGTCTTCGATGGCGCCGCCATCGACCACGCGGCGTGAAGACGCCATCTTGGGCGTGGCGCACCACGGAAGGCGGGAAGCCGCCATCTTGGGGCCGCCACGAAGATCGTCCGCCATCTTGGCGACACCGCGTTGCGACGCCTTGCTGAACTTGCCGCCGGAAGAGTCGGTGACGGACGGAAGCAGGCCAAGGAGCCGCAGTCGTCACCTTACAACTGTTAAGGAGTTCTCCATCGGGGGCGATTGGAGTGCGTTCGCTTGTCGATTTTTGGCGGCGGTACGAACGGCAAGGTGGACGGACGCCGAGGCGCTGGAGGTGCTTCCGACTCTCCTTGACGATGAGTCTGTTCGTTTTTTTCGCTCTATAAAAGCTGCGAAGAAGAAAACATTGCGTGGAGTGTTCGACGAAATGGCGGACGCGTACGAGCCACCGGATGACGCCCATCGCCGCTTCGTGCAGCGGCAACGCGCACCGGAGGAGTCGCCTGTAGCGTACAGGGGCGCCGTGCTGGAACTCGCGATGGCCGCTTACCCGGAGACGGAGCCTGACCTGCTGGAACCTCTCATCTTGGGGAAGATGTTGGAGTTATCCCGGGATCTGGGCATTCCTATGCCGGCTTGCGGTCACGAGAAACTCACGTCCCGGACCGCGGCTAAGTGTTTGGACGCCCAGTTCAATCTCCGCCGCTGGAAACAAGTCACGGCGTGGACGGGCGGTCCTGTCGTCGATGGGGGGGCCGTAGGGTGGGACCCTACAAAGGCCGTGTACGTGCCGGATGCGACCGGCCCAAAGGAGCTGTCGGCCGCCTCCACTCCGTGGCCGGCTCGAAGCGAGCCGGGGCCGCGGGCTCCGCCGCCGGCGCGGCCACGTCGGGACGGGGTGCCTGCTGCGCGCCGACCCGACGTCGACTGTTTCCGCTGCGGCCGTCGGGGCCACTATGCCAGGGACTGCTGGGCCCGGGTTCCGGGGCCGCCCCAGCAGGAGGCCTCGATCGCGGACGTCCCAAAGAAAGACCCTCCGGCACAGGCAAGTCGGTGCGCACCAGACACCCGGCAAGGCCTGACACCTCACTCATCGCCGTTGTTGTGCGACGCGGATGTTCTAAAATATGGGAGGCCAGTATCTGCGCCTTGTCGCTCGATAACGCAGTGGCGTAAGTTGGCTCGGCGGGTTGTCGCGGCCGCTACAGGTTCGTCCACTGTACCGGGGTCGATCCAAGGGGTGGACGTGCGTATTTTGGTGGATTCCGGGGCGTCCGCGACCATTATTTCGGATGTCATATTCCATCTTTTGAACATCCCACCGGGGGCCGTGAGGCCGGCTTACGCTTCCTGCATCGCTGCGAACGGGGGTAGTATGGGCATCGTGGGACAGGTGGACGCTAATATTTCTATCGGGGGGGTCTCGGCCTCGGGCGTTGTGTTAATTTCGAGGTCCCTGGCGGTTCCTTGCTTGTTGGGCACGGATTTTTTGGCTAAGATGCCCATTTTAATTAGAATCAATGAAAATTGCATTGAACTGCCAGGGGGCCGCAAATTGGCGTTTTTACAGTCCACCTGGGGGCGACCGGCTCCGGTTGCCCAGGTGCAGGCGTTATCGGAAGTTTCAGTTGATATTCCACCTGGCTCGCAGATGCTCATTCCCCTACGATACCGGAAGCCGGTTCCGGGTCGGCAGAGTGCTTGTGGAATTTTGCTGTCGCCGTCCGCCGCTGTTACGGGCGGATTGGCACTGGTGGGGGCGCAAACCATTGTCCGTCCGGATCAGCGCCCGTTTTTGCAGGTGTTAAATGCGACTTCTGAAAGCGTGTGTGTGCCGGCTGGTACCGTTGTGGCACACGCCACTACGGCGTTTACGGCTCAGAGTGACATTCCGGACGGGGGGCTGGTGGGTGGTGTTCACACGACGGAGGGGTGGACGATCGTTGGATCGCCGAATTATGTGCGGAAAATTCGGCCCTTTCCGCTGAGCAGCGTTGTGCGATTCATAAATTATTAGCGAGCTATTCCGATGTGTTTAGCTCGGACGATTTGGACTTGGGACGCACCTCGCTGCTCTCTCATCACATCGAAACGGGGGACGCGGCCCCTATCCGCTTGAACTCGCGTCGGATGAGTCCGGCTGAGCGTGAGCACGTTCGAGGGGCAGTGGAAGACATGTTGAAAGCGGATATTATATCTCCGTCTAATAGCCCGTGGGGTGCGCCTGTCGTGTTGGTTAAAAAGAAAGATGGTAAATTACGATTTTGTGTGGATTTTCGGAAGTTAAATAAAGTGTCGGTGGCAGATGCGTATCCCCTGCCGCGTATGGACGATTCTCTCGACGCCTTGTCAGGGGCTAAGTTTTTTTCAACGCTAGATCTCTCTTCGGGCTTCTGGCAGCTTCCCCTTGACGAGCCCTCGCGGGAAAAGACAGCGTTCCGTACGCCGCAGGGGTTGTTCCAATTTAACTGTCTGCCGATGGGGTTGAATGCAGCCCCTGCCACCTTTCAGAGATTGATGGAGTTGGTATTGACGGGGTTGCAGTGGGAGACATGTCTCATTTATTTAGATGATATTATTGTCTTCAGCCGCACATTTGATGAGCATTTATTGCGGTTGGAGGCCGTTTTTGCCAGAATGCGTTCTGCTAATTTGAAATTCAAGCCTAAGAAATGTCATCTACTGCAACGTTCCGTTCGATACTTGGGACATATTGTTAGTGCGGACGGGGTGGCCACGGATCCAGAGAAAACTGCGTGTGTCCGGGATTGGGCAACCCCCGCCACGGTGGGTGATGTGCGTCGGTTTTTGGGGTTCGCCTCATATTACCGGAGGTTTGTTCCGAATTTCGCTACTATCGCCAGGCCTTTGCATCTCCTTACTGGGAAGGGGCACAAATTTGTGTGGGGACCGCCGGAGGAGGCGGCGTTTCGGAGCCTGCGCGACCTACTGGCTACTGCGCCGACGTTGGATTATCCGGATTTTGAACATCCCTTCATTCTGGATACTGATGCGAGTGACACCGGGATTGGGGCGGTGTTGTCCCAGTCAAAAGGTGGTGTTGAGCGTGTGGTGGCGTACGGGAGTCGGGTTTTGTCTCCCGCGGAAACTCGTTACTGCGTCACTCGCAGGGAACTTTTGGCTATTGTGTATTTTCTCCGCCAATTTCGACCGTATCTGTACGGTCGGTCGTTTATTGTCCGAACGGACCATGCGGCCTTGCAGTACGCTCTTAAGATGGACCAGCCATCCGGACAATTGGCGAGATGGCTGGACACGTTGCAAGAATTCTCCTTCCAAATTCACCATCGGAAGGGTGTGCGTCACGCTAACGCGGACGCACTGTCCAGGTTGCCGCAACAATCCCCTTGTGCGTGTGCGTCGGGGACGCATAGGTGTGGACCGGCTCAGCCCCCCCCTCAGCCTGTCGCGCGGGCAGTGGATGTTCTCGAACCTCCGCTTACACCGGGACCGGTTGAAGGGGGACCGGCTGACGGGATTTTGCGTCTTCCAAGGTCTGTGTGGATTCGGGAGCAAATGTTGGACGATTCTTTGGTGTCGTTACGGAAACGAACGGAGAAGGCGGGTAAGGAAGTCGGTGCGGGTGGTAATTCGGAAACTGCTCTCCGAGATGGGTTACTGATGTGGAGGGAAGGGATACAGGAACACTGGCGTCTCGTTGTGCCTGCGTCATTGCGCTATGAGTTGATTAGATCTTTGCACTGTGACACACTTTTACACCTGGGGGTGCAGAAAACCCTATTGACGCTGCAACGAGACTATTATTGGCACGGCATGACGACGGATGTCGTCGGTCACGTTCGCGCGTGTCCCGATTGTGCCCGCCGTAAGCCGCCTAAACATCCATATGTTCCGCCGATACAATCGATTAAAGTATCTCGGGTTAATGAGTTGGTGGCGTTAGATATTTTGGGACCCTTTCCGCCATCAGCTAAAGGGAATAAGTATTTACTGGTGGGGGTGGAGTACCTCTCTCGCTGGCCGATGGCCTGGCCCTTGCCTGACCAGTCAGCGGCGTCTATCACGGACGCCTTTCTATTTGGGTATGTAATGGACAAAGGGGCTCCGGAGAGGCTCCTTACGGATCAGGGACGTAACTTTTCGTCTAAATTGTTGGGGGAGGTGTGTGCGGCTCTTGGAACTAAAAAGATACGGACGTCCCCCTACCACCCGCAAACGGATGGTATGGTGGAACGGTTGAATCGGACTCTGTCCGCCATGCTGTGCCATACAGTCGGGGAAAACCAATCTGATTGGGATTTGCATATCCCTGGGGTGCTTTCGGCGTATCGCATGACGCCGCACGCGGCTACTGGATACTCGCCGTTTTTCCTTATGTACGGCCGTGAGAACGTGCCGCCGATTCATGACCAGTTGGGAACCGGTGCGAGGGGGCCTGTTAAGCCTCTTCCTGAGTATATTAAGGACAACGTTCGGCGTGTCGCTGAGGCGAGGGAAAATGCCCGCATGGCTACTGCCAAGGCTCAGGCCAGGAATGAGCGGTGTGCCCGACGTTCAAAGGGGGAGTGTCCCTGGAAAAAGGGGGACCTGGCCTGGCTTCATTGCCCACAGGTGCGGCCAGGTACATCTCCTAAATTACATCGACCTTGGCAGGGTCCGGTCCGCCTCATTGAGGTTCCCAACCCACAGTCGGCGCGTGTTCAGGTTGGTGCACGGCGTTGGTTCGTGCACACGTCCCGGTTGAAGCCATACATTGCCCCACGGCCGGATGCGTCATCTCCCCAAGTTGCCTTGCCGGGGTCTGTTGCTGCCGACTCGCCCTTGCCTGTGTCTGCTGACCTTGCGAGAGCGCCTGTCGTACCCTTCACAGACAAGCCGGCCGTGACAGCGCAGGGAGGAGGACCTTCCGCTTGTGGGACGCCGACCGGAGCCGCAGAACCCACGGGACCTGCAGCTCTTCCTATCCCTCCGCGGACGCGAGTACGGGATGTTTCTGGACGCGAGCGGGACAGTGGCGGGCCTCCAATGGCGACGGAAGAACTTGCGCCCGTCGCCCCTAAAACCCTTCCACGTTCCCGCTCGGCGGGTGGGCCGCCGACCGTCCGGGACGGCCCGGCTACCCGTACTCGCTCGAAATCCCTCACGTTTCGTTAGATTGTGTTGCGTTGTGTTATTGTTATAATGTCTTCAATGCTTCGTGTCTTTTTGCGTGTTGGCCCTTTACACCCGCATTGCTTTTCAGGTTGCAATTCAGCCGAGGTCGGCTGGATTTTCTTTAGGGGGGAGGGTGATGTAATGCGGTTGTAAACGGCCCTTCTGAGGTGCCGTCAGGGGGGGAGGAGTTAGGTCACGTGGGGGGCAGAGGGGTTGAGTATAGAAGGAGGGGAACCGGAAGAGCAAGGGGAGTGACGGGGAACCAGGAACAGAGGAAGGCCACGAAGGGCGAAGCGGGGTGTGGCGAGATCGCCACGAACACGGGGGGAGCGAGGATCGGCACCGTTGGCCAGCGGTGACCGACCCGAAGCAGCGAGGAGGCTGCAGTCAGCAGCGGGGCTGCACAGAGAGGGTGGGCAGCGGGTCTGCATATAGTGACAGCCAGAGGGTCTGCACATAGGGGTAGCAGCGGGAGTCTGCATAGGGGTAGCAGCGAGTCTGCAGGGAGGAGGTTACAGTAGATGAAGCAGAGAGTCAGAGGGGAGAGGAAGCTATAATAGCAGTGAATAGCCGGGGGCTACAAATACAGGAGTTATAACAGAGTGCCGTGTGGGTAAAGACGTGAACCTGAATAAAGACACGAAGACAGAAAGAAGTGTTCGAGTCCTTTTATTACAAATGATTGCGCAACGAAGTGGCTGTTGTGGAATTGACATCAGCAGCCAAATACTCCTGCCCCTTCCCTCTCTCCTCCTGCTCCTTCTCCTCCCCCTTCCCCCTCCCCCTTCCCCCTCCTCCTCCTCCCCCCTCCCCCACCCCACGTTGCTCTCCGCTAACAAGTGAGATGGCGTCTATTGGCCCCCGCGCCGCTCCCCACGGCACGCTCGCCACGAGCTACTCACCCGAATATCTTCGCCAGCTGATCGACATCGGAGCCTCCGGGGAAGAGAGGCCTGCGTTGAGGGGAGACAAGGAGGTCACCTGATGCGACATCGCTGAGAATAATAACACGTCGTCATCATCATCATCATAACAACACCGATGTAATGGGGGAGAGGTGGACCCACGGGGGCATCTGCCGGAGTCTGTCCCTTGACCTTCACGCACTCCGTAACGCGCACCTATCCTGGCACGGGCGCCGTGGCGACGCCACCCTGCCAGGCCTGTGGTGACATTGCGTGGGTTGGTGGGTTGGTGGGTGGGTTGTTGAGTGGGTTGGTGGGTGGTTTGGTGGGTTGGTGGGTGGATTGGTGGGTGGGTTGTTGAGTGGGTGGCTGGCTGGGTGGTTTGGTGGGTTGGTGGGTGGTTTGCTAGGTGGGTGGGTGGGTTGCTAGGTGGGTGGGTGGGTTGCTAGGTGGGTGGGTGTGTGGGTTGCTAGGTGGGTTGGTGGGTGGGTTGCTAGGTGGGTGGGTGGGTTGCTAGGTGGGTGGGTGGGTTGCTAGGTGGGTGGGTGGGTTGCTAGGTGGGTGGGTGGCTGGGTGTGTGGGTGGGTGGGTTGCTAGGTGGGTGGGTGGCTGGGTGTGTGGGTGGGTGGGTTGCTAGGTGGGTGGGTTGCTAGGTGGGTGGGTGGCTGGGTGTGTGGGTGGGTGGGTTGCTAGGTGGGTGGGTGGGTTGCTAGGTGGGTTGCTAGGTGGCTGGGTGTGCGGGTGGCGGTGCTCAAGGAGCACCTGCGTGTAAACATCTCAGCTAAGATGCAGCCGACGCTCCACAGGTCGGCGGCCGGGCCGCAGGTCACCCGCAGCAGCAGCAGCTCCGGGGCGCGGTACCACGACGGGGACACCTACAGCGGCACACACAAAGACAAAGACCCCCCGTGTAGCCTTGACACACCGTAGGGGCAAGTGCCGTTAGCGAGCACCTATGACGGCCGCCTTTATCTACCCGGTGGCGATGTTTACCGCGCACCGCACTAGATACTCATTTGAGGCTGAGTCAACCTAGGGGAAGCCTGGGACCGGTTAAAATAATCGTTGCCGGGTTCATTGCGCAGCGTAGCGCTAACCGCTGCACTAACCAGCAACACCGGATTAACAAGACGTTCACCCTTAGGCGCTCTCACCCAACAAACACATTTACAGGGTCTCCGCTACTTACGAAGGAGTTAGGTTCCAGAGGTCTGTCGCTGTTGTATAATCTCCTGCAAATGTAGATGCCACTGGTTCTTCATGTTCTGTAGATGCCACTGGTTCTTCATGTTCTGTAGATGCCACTGGTTCTTCATGTTTTGTAGATGTAGATGCCACTGGTTCTTCATGTTTTGTAGATGCCACTGGTTCTTCATGTTTTGTAGATGTAGATGCCACTGGTTCTTCATGTTCTGTAGATGCCACTGGTTCTTCACGTTCTGCAGATGTAGATGCCACTGGTTCTTCACGTTTTGCAGATGTAGATGCCACTGGTTCTTAGCGTTCTGCAGATGTAGATGCCACTGGTTCTTCATGTTCTGCAAATGTAGATGCCACTGGTTCTTCATGTTCTGCAGATGTAGATGCCACTAGTTCTTTGCGTTCTGCAGATGTAGATGCCACTGGTTCTTCACGTTCCGCAGATGTAGATGCCACTGGTTCTTCACGTTCCACAGATGTAGATGCCACTGGTTCTTCACGTTCTGCAGATGCCACTGGTTCTTCACGTTCTGCAGATGTAGATGCCACTGGTTCTTCACATTCCGCAGATGTAGATGCCACTGGTTCTTCACCTTCTGCAGATGTAGATGCCACTGGTTCTTCACGTTCTGCAGATGTAGATGCCACTGGTTCTTCACGTTCTGTAGATGTAGATGCCACTGGTTCTTCACGTTCTGTAGATGCCACTGGTTCTTCACGTTCTGCAGATGTAGATGCCACTGGTTCTTCGCGTTCTGCAGATGTAGATGTCACTGGTTCTTCACATTCCGCAGATGTAGATGCCACTGGTTCTTCACGTTCTGCAGATGTAAATGCCACTGGTTCTTCATGTTCCGCAGATGTAGATGCCACTGGTTCTTCATGTTCTGTAGATGCCACTGGTTCTTCACGTTCTGCAGATGTAGATGCCACTGGTTCTTCGCGTTTTGCAGATGTAGATGCCACTGGTTCTTAGCGTTCTGCAGATGTAGATGCCACTGGTTCTTCATGTTCTGCAAATGTAGATGCCACTGGTTCTTCATGTTCTGCAGATGTAGATGCCACTAGTTCTTTGCGTTCTGCAGATGTAGATGCCACTGGTTCTTCACGTTCCGCAGATGTAGATGCCACTGGTTCTTCACGTTCCACAGATGTAGATGCCACTGGTTCTTCACGTTCTGCAGATGCCACTGGTTCTTCACGTTCTGCAGATGTAGATGCCACTGGTTCTTCACATTCCGCAGATGTAGATGCCACTGGTTCTTCACCTTCTGCAGATGTAGATGCCACTGGTTCTTCACGTTCTGCAGATGTAGATGCCACTGGTTCTTCACGTTCTGTAGATGTAGATGCCACTGGTTCTTCACGTTCTGTAGATGCCACTGGTTCTTCACGTTCTGCAGATGTAGATGCCACTGGTTCTTCGCGTTCTGCAGATGTAGATGTCACTGGTTCTTCACATTCCGCAGATGTAGATGCCACTGGTTCTTCACGTTCTGCAGATGTAAATGCCACTGGTTCTTCATGTTCCGCAGATGTAGATGCCACTGGTTCTTCACGTTCTGTAGATGTAGATGCCACTGGTTCATCACGTTCTGCAGATGTAGATGCCACTGGTTCTTCACGTTCTGTAGATGTAGATGCCACTGGTTCATCACGTTCTGCAGATGTATATGCCACTGGTTCTTCACGTTCTGCAGATGTAGATGCCATTGGTTCTTCACGTTCTGCACATGTAGATGCCACTGCTTCTTCACCTTCTGCAGATGTAGATGCCACTGGTTCTTCACGTGCTGCAGATGTAGATGCCACTGGTTCTTCATGTGCTGCAGATGTAGATGCCACTGGCTCTTCACGTGCTGCAGATGTAGATGCCACTGGTTCTTCATGTTCTGCAGATGTAGAAGCCACTGGTTCTTCACGTTCTGCAGATGTAGATGCCACTGGTTCTTCACATTCCGCAGATGTAGATGCCACTGGTTCTTCACGTTCTGCAGATGTAGATGCCACTGGTTCTTCACATTCCGCAGATGTAGATACCACTGGTTCGTCACGTTCCGCAGATGTAGATGCCACTGGTTCTTCACGTTCTGCAGATGCCACTGGTTCTTCACGTTCTGTAGATGTAGATGACACTGGTTCTTCGCATTCTGCAGATGTAGATGCCACTGGTTCTTCACGTTCTGCAGATGCCACTGGTTCTTGACGTTCTGTAGATGTAGATGCCACTGGTTCATCACGTTCCGTAGATGTAGATGTCACTGGGTCTTCACGTTCTGTAGATGTAGATGCCACTGGTTCTTCACGTTCCGCAGATGTAGATGCCACTGGTTCTTCACGTTCTGTAGATGTCACTGGGTCTTCACGTTCTGCAGATGTAGATGCCACTGGTTCTTCACGTTCTGCAGATGCCACTGGTTCTTGACGTTCTGTAGATGTAGATGCCACTGGTTCTTCACGTTCTGTAGATGTAGATGTCACTGGTTCTTCACGTTCTGTAGATGTAGATGCCACTGGTTCTTGACGTTCTGTAGATGTAGATGCCACTGGTTCTTCACGTTCTGTAGATGTAGATGCCACTGGGTCTTCACGTTCTGTAGATGTAGATGCCACTGGTTCTTCGCGTTCTGCAGATGTAGATGCCACTGGTTCTTCACGTTCTGCAGATGTAGATGCCAACACCACCGCCATCTATTGCGTGTGGTGGTTGAACTTACCGCTCTCAGTCCGAGCAGGCAACTGGACGTACGGGACCAGGTAGTTCGTTTTCTCTGAAAGTCCCCAAGTCGAACGTTCGTACGTGGAGGAGTCCCCGTGTTACGGACACCCTGCCACATCAATCTCTATACTCACCACACATCTCTCTCTCACCACTCATCTCTCTCTCTACTCACCACACATCTCTCTCTCTCACCACTCATCTCTCTCTCACCACACATCTCTCTCTCTCACCACTCATCTCTCTCTCACCACTCATCTCTCTACTCACCACTCATCTCTCTACTCACCACTCATCTCTCTCTCTCACCACTCATCTCTCTACTCACCACTCATCTCTCTCTCTCACCACTCATCTCTCTCACCACTCATCTCTCTCTCTCACCACATCTCTCTCTCACCACTCATCTCTCTGCCTCACCACTCATCTCTCTCTCTCTCACCACTCATCTCTCTCTCTCACCACACATCTCTCTCTCACCACACATCTCTCTCACCACTCATCTCTCTCTACTCACCAGACATCTCTCTCTCACCACTCATCTCTCTCTCACCACTCATCTCTCTCACCACTCATCTCTCTCTCTCACCACTCATCTCTCTCTCACCACATCTCTCTCCACTCACCACACATCTCTCTCTCACCACTCATCTCTCTCTCACCACACATCTCTCTGCCTCACCACTCTCTCTCTCTCTCACCACACATCTCACCACTCTCTCTCTCTCACCACACACATCTCTCTCTCTCACCACACATCTCTCTGCCTCACCACTCTCTCTCTCTCACCACACATCTCTCTCTCTGCCTCTCCACTCACCACTCTCTCTGCCTCACCACACACATCTCTCTCTCACGCCTCACTACACATCTCTCTGCCTCACCACACACATCTCTCTCTCTCTCTACTCACCGCCGGGGTGGGAGCCGTGCTCGCGCTGTCCAAGAGGAAGCGTCCGAGCCCCCAGCCGGCGAGCTTGACGCGCCCCGAGGCCGTCACCAGGACGCTGCGTGGCGTGAGCTCGCCGTGCTCCAGGCCGTGGCCGTGCAGGTAGCGCAGCCCACACAGCAGCTGGCGCGTCACCTCCTGGGCACAGAGACTCATAGAGACTCATAGAGACACACAGAGACACACAGAGACACATAGAGACTCATAGAGACTCATAGAGATACACAGAAACACATAGAGACTCATAGAGACTCATAGAGATACACAGAGACTCATAGAGATACACAGAGACTCATAGAGACACACAGAGACTCATAGAGACACACAGAGACTCATAGAGACTCATAGAGACTCATAGAGACTCACAGAGATACACAGAGACTCACAGAGATACACAGAGACTCACAGAGACACACAGAGATTCATAGAGACACACAGAGATACACAGAGACTCACAGAGACTCACAGAGATACACAGAGACTCACAGAGACACACAGAGACACATAGAGACACACAGAGACTCATAGAGACTCATAGAGATACACAGAGACTCATAGAGACTCATAGAGACACATAGAGACACACAGAGACACACAGAGACCCATAGAGATAGGGGGGTAGGGAGTGAGTGACGGGGTGGGGGGTGGTGGCACCTTGATGTGGTGGGACGGTGTGTGGGGCGACGTCCCCAGGTAGGTGGACAGGTCCCGGTCCACGAGCTCAAAGGCCACGGCGAGCCGCGCGTCGCCCTCGCCAGGATCCACGCCGAAGTCCAGCAGCCTGCACGGCGGCCGGGGGTCGAGGCGACATCCAAGTGTCACGTGAGGTTACATCCGGGTCGTTGACGAATTAAAACTCTGTGGTAGTAGCTTTTAACCCTTTTAAACTGGTACAAAACTGACAACCTTTATACAAGGCATCATGTTTGCAATAACCACAACACAAGTAGTCAAAAATGCAAACAAAAAGAAACAACTCTGATAATGATAATAATATGCACTGTTCTTGAAGTTGATTGGCCCACACCTGAGACAGCTTTTCTTAGAGCCTAGTCCCCATTGGTGTTGGACCAGATGACACCAGAAGGCGTACAATTCAAACACAGCGCACTATCAGAGTATTGAGAGCTCGGGGTGAAGCATTTACACTATGAGACATTATTATCATTATCAGAGTTGCTTCTTTTTGTTTGCATTTGTGACTACTTGTGTTGTGGTTATTGCAAACATGATGCCTTGTATAAAGGTGTCAGTTTTGTACCAGTTTAAAAGGGTAAAAACCTACGACTATATTTTGCCGCTGCTAAAGGAGTTCTCATAGTGGATCACACCTCGTCACGGTGATTGGCTCTGCCGGTCCTGGCCCACAGCCAATGGGGGGAAGCCTAGGGCCGTGGCCCTGACGTCATGAGAAGGTGACAGCTGTAAGGAGATGATTGGCCCTGCTGGCTTTAGCCACAGCCAATGGGGAGACGAGTCAGGGGCGTGGTCCCGGGAGCCTACGATGGAGTCTGGAAGATTCCATGGAGGCTAACCAGGATTGGTGGAAACGTACCACGTGACCCGGGTATTAAATAGGAGGGCGGCAGACCGGGTAGACAAACGCATTTCAAAAACAGGGGGCGCTCCTCCATCGGCGGTGGAGACGGCGACAACGTAAGGCGAGTTGACACCAAGACACGAAGACCGTGGAGGATTGGAGGACGGAGGCTGACGCGGTGACGATTGCGAGGGATCGCGAGGGGGCGCCAGGAGGGGTGGGAGAGACACCCACCTCACCACGTTGGGGTGCTCCAACTTCATGAGCTGCAGCAGCTGCTGCAGCTGCCAGGTCTCCCCCTCCCGGCCCCGGCCTGTCTGCAGGCGCAGGCCCTTGAGCAGCGCCACAAAGCGGCCCTCGTCTCGCAGGTCGCGAGCCTTCAACGCCGTCGCGGCCCCGTAGACCCCAGCGCCCAACTCGGCCACCGCCTCGTACTGCTGCTCCATGTCCGCCGCCCCGAAACGCTTCCAGCGCAGACGCCGCCGCTAGCAGCAGCAGCAGCAGCGATCACACAGAGACGCAAGAGAGACAGAGAGAAGCAGAGAGAGAGAGAATTGTCACAGAGGGTCACAGATACAGAGAGAGTCACAGAGAGAGTCACAGAGATTGTCACCTAGAGGGGAAATGAGCGCAGACTCCGCCGGTCACGTGGATGTCCTCTGCTGCCGGAAGTCCGCCCGCCACCGCCGCTAGCAGCAGCAGCAGCAGCGATCACACAGAGACGCAAGAGAGATAGAGAGAAGCAGAGAGTCGCAGAGAGAGACAGAGAGAATTGTCACAGAGGGTCACAGATACACATCGAGGGTAAATGCACCTTTACATCAGCCGCACCTAGTTTACACAACAAAGGCTCATTCCTAACAGCGTGCTTCAGCCGCACCGAACCTCACAACAATAATATTCAGGGCCTACCTTGGCTCCTCCCACCCTCAACCAGTATATATATACAAGGACTGTGTTCTTGGAATGTCTCTCACTTGATGCAGCTGTCGTGGCTGTGACGGTTCCACCTGAAGACTGAAGCTTGTGTTGCCTCCGAAACGTTATTTTATCTTACTTTTGTTAATTTAAATTTTTTACCTACATGACTTTACCGAAAAAACCTAAGAATATGAATCCTTGCAGTCACGAAAGCTTCAAATCTAGAATTAAATGGGTGAGGTTAATGACTGTGGCTCATGCACCTGCAATGGCTGCTTTGGGTACACAGTTCAGACCTCCCCAGAGACCCTGGCTGACAGAGGAGGTGTTCAGGCTGGCTGAGAAAAATCAACAGGCCCACTCTCATAGTCTACAGCATCCCACGTCAGAGAATGAGGCTGACCGCAGCCTTCGCTCGGAGGTTCTGAGAGCCCTGAGGCGCTGCAATGATGGGCGGTGGTCGCAGGTTTCTGAGGAGATGGAATCTGCCTCAGTAGCCCGTGATCAGACATCACTGTTTAATTCCATCAAAAACGTAACTTGTAGTGCCACACCTATCACCATCATTCGGGGAAAGAATGGTGATCCAATCTCCGATCCCCCCCAGGAACAGGTTTGTAGATTTGCTGAGCATTTCTGTGAGGTCCTGGGGGAGGGGAAATCCCTCAGCCAGGAAAACATCATGGCACAAAGTGGGGATGACACTGCTGAGGCTGCGGTGCCTCAAATATTGGAAGAAGTCACCCCTGTGAGTGACTGGTTGAGGTGCCATCTGTTGAGGAAGTCCTGAAGGAGATCCAGAGTCTGAGACCAGGAAAGGCACCAGGCAGAGATGATCTCCCAAGGGAAATTCTAGACAGAGCAGCCTAAACATTTAGGCTGGCCTGTCTACGATCCATCTTAACCCGTTAGAAACATTTAGGCTGGCCAAGCAGGCCGGGCAATGTAGCCCAGCCCGGCCCAGCCCAGGGCAAGCAGGCTGGGCAATGTCACCCAGCCCAGGCCTAGCCGAAGCAGGCCTAGGGCTGCACTCACTCACCTCGTGGTTCGCTCCGTAGACGTCTGTGTGGGTGGTGGGGGTCTTGAGCTCTCTACTCCGTCGTGGCGAGGAGGTGACACACGAAGCTATTGCCTCGTGTGGAGGTGGTGGTGGAGGTGGTGGTGGTGGAGGTGGTGGAGGTGGAGGAGGAGGTTCGACGTTTCGCTACCACAACCAGGGCGGGAGACGGACCGCTGGTGGGAACGCGTGGCTTTAGCAGGGCGCGTTTAGAAAACGTAGCGCGGATAGGCGACCACGTGGCAGCGGGGCTAAATTCCGTAGAGCTGATAAGCGCTGCCCATAAAGTCAACACTGGCCACAGTTCTGTGTGTGCAGCAGTCGATTTGAAGTTTTTCGTGACTGATATGATCCATATCCTTTGCTTCTTTCGGTAAAGTCACGTGGGTGAAGATTTTAAATATAAAATAGAAATAAGCAAAGAGTATATGCGCATACTCTGTGTTTTTTTCGGTAAAGTCACGGAGGTGAAAAAATTAAAATTAAAAAAAATTTAATCGCGACGTTTCGGGCGACACAAGCTTCCGAAAAAGTCGTCTTTTAATTTAATTTTAAAATTTTTAATATTTTATTATTTCCCTTCCACGTGACTTGACCAAAAGAACCAAGAAGATGAATCCCTGCAGTCACGAAAGCTTTAAATCGAAAAATTGAGGCTTTTTTTTGACGGAACATGCAAAACACTTTAAATTCGCAGCTACAAAAACTCTAGCCCGGTACGTCAAAACAAGATGTCATGTATATCAACATGTAACATATCGAGTGCATTGTATATAAGTGTAGTGTATATAGTGTAGTGTATATAAGTGTAGTGTATATCAGTGGCGGCTCCTGCAAAATCTCTCAGGGGGGGCAAATGTCTGGATGATTGATAAGGATAAGGTCCACCCATGCAATGGATAAATTAACAGCTTAAGCATGTAAAGGCAACTTCACTTCTTTAATATTAATGAAAAATAAAGTGACTCTTACAATACATCTTGTTTGTTTCTATACTCACTATTAAAACAAACCACTCAAGTTTATTTTATTAAAGATTCCACTAGGTGGCGACAAATAATATTGTTGACTGAAACGTGCTTACGTATGATGACGTAAGCACGTATGATGACGTTAGCACGTTAGTGTGAGCCCTCCCGGAAGCCATAGAGAATGCATTGCAGCGCCCGCCGTTCGAAAAAAAACATCTTTGAATGTAAGTCTATGGGGCCACTCGGGGCGATTCTCAGCCGGAGTGAAATCGCCCAAAAAGAGGCGGTACTCCACAGAACGTGACATGACGCTGATTGGACTATATCCAGAGGCACAATAACGGCTAGCGTTACTCTGTGGTTGAATGACATTGGTGGTGCGTCGCCCAATCGCCCTAATGAAGAAACCGCCCCTGGGGTCATAGGCAGCATTCCTCCTCCTCCAAACACGGCGAGTTGAGTTGATGCCAAAGAGCTCCATTTTGGTCTCATCTGACCACAACACTTTCACCCAGTTGTCCTCTGAATCATTCAGATGTTCATTGGCAAACTTCAGACGGGCAAGTATATGTGCTTTCTTGAGCAGGGGGACCTTGCGGGCGCTGCATGATTTCAGTCCTTCTCGGCGTAGTGTGTTACCAACTGTTTTCTTGGTGACTATGGTCCCAGCTGCCTTGAGATTATTGACAAGATCCTTCCGTGTAGTCCTAGGCTGATTCCTCACCGTTCTCATGATCATTGCAACTCCACGAGGTGAGATCTTGCATGGAGCCCCAGGCCGAGGGAGATTGACAGTTCTTTTATGTTTATTTCATTTGCGAATAATCGCACCAACTGTTGTCACCTTTTCACCAAGCTGCTTGGCGATGGTCTTGTAGCCCATTCCAGCCTTGTGCAGGTCTACAATCTTGTCCCTGCCATCCTTGGAGAGCTCTTTGGTCTTAGCCATGGTGGAGAGTTTGGAATCTGATTGATTGCTTCTGTGAACAGGTGTCTTTTATACAGCTAACAAGCTGAGATTAGGAGCACTCTCTTTAAGAGTGTGCTCCTAATCTCAGCTCGTTACCTGTATAAAAGACACCTGTTCACAGAAATCTTTTTGATTGAGAGGGGGTCAAATACTTATTTCCCTCATTAAAATGCAAATCAATTTATAACATTTTTGCCTGGATTTTTGTTGTTATTCTGTCTCTCACTGTTCAAATAAACCTACCTTTAATATTATAGACTGATCATTTATTTGTCAGTGGGCAAACGTACAAAATCAGCAGGGGATCAAATACTTTTTTCCCTCACTGTATGTTAACCACGCTGTGTGTGTACACCTATGTTAACCACACTGTGTGTGTACACCTGTTAACCACACTGTGTGTGAACACCTATGTTAACCAAATTGTCTCAACGTTGCATGTGTACTGGGTTTTAATTAAAATTTAGTTTTCTCGATGGAGTCATTTCTGCCCCTTTATATTTTTCAACGCTTTCACTTCACGTGATATGCCTCTGTTTGTCGTGGTCAACATCTTGTAACAACATGTTTAGTCTACTTCCTGTTGTCCAATCCACGAGACTGTGTGCTCACTGTGACAACGTACTGCCCGCACACCAATCAGGCGCCACGTGCCTCAGGCTCACCTGCGTCGTGTGCGTGCATCACTCTAAATAAAAAACACCTAATTGATAAAGCAATCAATAAAAATCGGCGTCAATCACTTAAGCGTCTCTTTAAAAGCGTGGACGTCTTGTTAATTAAATATCTATTTGCCCGCCGGGAATCGAGAACGCCGCGGCCCCTGAGCTCTGGAATCGCGTCGCCCACGAAGCTTCTCAACACGCGGTGAGCGCTGAGCGCGTGTCGCGCAACTCAAAGTTGTTGTTTTATTATTCAACTTCATTCGTTCCTCTCTCTCTGTGTGTGTGTGTGTGGCGCGCTCAAGGCTCGTGGTCGAAACGTCGTTCACTTCCACGTTGTCCGCTCGACTTCTTTAAAAAAAAGTTACAATTTTTTTAAATAAAAAAAAGACATTTGTAATAAAAACATTTTTTTAAGGAGTTTCTTTTAGTGGGTTTACCTATACCAGGGGTCGGCAACCTGCGGCTCCGGAGCCGCATGCGGCTCTTTTGAACCTTGACCGCGGCTCCGGGGCGGATGCTAGCGAGGGGAGGAGGCGCACTGTGACACCTGCTCTGGCGTCGCCGCTCCGCTCCACACTGCCCGCCCGGTGACAGGCAATAACGTTGCCGTTGCTAGGTAACGCAAAACATGGCTGCCTCCATCAGCTCCGCTCCTCATGGACAGAATCATTCGCATTCTCTACTGACGAGACTGGTTTACCAGTATGCTTAATATGTGGCGAGAAATTTGCAAACAACAAAAAGTCGAATATTGCAAGACATTTCCAGAATAAACACACAGCCTTTGCTGAAAAATATCCAGATGGAGATGAGAGACGAAAAGCCATTGCAGAACTTATGAGGAAGGTTAATATGAGCAAAAATAATTTCAAGAAGTGGGTGAAGACTGAAAATTCCACAACATATGCTAGTTTTGTGGCCGCTCAGGAAATAGTCAAGCACGGGAAGCCCTTCACAGATGGAGAGTATATAAAAGAAGCATTCATTAATATTTCGGAACATCTACACATGGACTTCAAAAACAAGAATGAAATTGTGCAGAAAATCAAAGACATGCCTCTCTCTGCGAAGACTGTCAAAGACAGAACCCTAAAAATGGCAGAAAACATTAGCAAACAGCAAATTCAAGACATTAATTCAGCTGTGGCGTACTCCATCGCCTGTGATGAGTCCAAAGATGAAGGTGATATTGAACAAATAGCGCTGTTCTGCCGATATGTGAACTCTTTTGGGCCACAGGAAGAACTGATTGAGCTGATACCACTAAAAGACCAAACAAGCGGTGAGGATATCTGTAAGGCTGTCCTGGACTTTTTAAGTGCTAAAAAAATAAACACCAACCACCTGGTCTCAGTGGCTACTGATGGGGCACCGAGCATGAGAGGAGCACAGAAGGGCTTTGTGGCTCTACTGCAGAAGGCGCTGGGTAGAACGCTGCTGTCATTTCATTGCATCCTGCACCAAGAGGCATTGTGTGCTCAAACATTTCCCCCGGAATGCACAAAAGTGATGGATGTGGTCATTCAGATTGTTAATAAAATAATGGCAAAGGGTTTAAACCACCGCCAGTTCCGTTTGCTATTGGATGAGGTGGAAAGCATATATTCTGACCTCCTGCTCCACAACAAGGTCCGGTGGCTGTCCAGAGGCGAGGTGCTAAAACGCTTTGTCACATGTTTGGAAGAAGTAAAAACCTTCCTGTGCAGCAAAGAGCTCACCTTTGCTGAGCTGGAACAGCCAGAGTGGCTGGAAAAATAACATTTTATGGTAGACATGACAGCACATCTAAACACGCTAAATACAACCCTTCAGGGAAAAGGAGGCACAGCCCTGCACATGCTGGAGGAGGTTTTGGCATTCGAGCGCAAGTTGACAGTGTTTGTCAAAGATTTACAGAGAGGTACACTGTCTCACTTTCCCTCTTTGAGAGAGTTCAAACAAAGTCATGATACGATAAATTTGGAATATTTCAAGTCTGCAATCACCACAATGCAAAGTTCGTTTGGGAAACGATTCTGTGAGTTCAGAGGAAAAAACGGCATTATCCTTCCCTGTCACTCCCCTGGCGATCGATCCATCCCTATTGAATATGACTGCATTTGCAGGTGTAAGTCAACCTGATCTTGAGATGGAACTGGCCGATATAGCCGACAAAGATATATGGGTGTCCAAGTTCAAATGCTTGACCGCTACTCTTGAGGATGTTGCCCGTCAGAAGGCCATTCTGGCTCAGAATCATAAATGGATTGATATTGAAAACCTTCCCAAACAGGACAAACTTGTATTCGAAACATGGAATGCCATCCCCAACACTTATATAAACATGAAAAAGTATGCATTTGGAGTCCTGTCGATCTTCGGCTCCACATATGTATGTGAGCAGGTCTTCTCCAACATGAACTATATTAAAAACAAACATCGATCACGCCTCACAGATGACAGCTTGCAAGCCTGTGTGAAAATGAAGGTGACGTCTTACAGCCCTGATGTGCAGACACTGTGCACTGAGGTTCAGGAGCAAAAATCCCATTAACCAGGTAATTTAGCTATTAATTTGCAAAAATATATTTTACATTGTTAAGTGAAAAAGTCCTTTTTTTATTCAGATTGACAGCTGACTGCACGATCCTGTATATAGCAATAAGGTAAGAAACAATATATGCAGTGTTATATTTGTTTTAAATGTCGCAATGGTTTTGCGGCTCCCAGTTTATTTTTTCCTTCGGAAACGGGTCCAAGTGGCTATTTATGTCTTAAAGGTTGCAGACCCCTGCACTACACTATACACTACACTACTATACACTACACTATACACTACACTATACACTAGTGCTGTACTAGTATACTACACTATACACTACACTATACACTACACTATACACTACACTATACACTACACTATACACTACACTATACACTACTATACACTACACTATACACTAGTGCTGTACTAGTGACGAATTGCCACGTTCTGTTGACGTGACAACCCTTACGAGTTGGCTGTGTCGGGTGGTGGCGGGTTTAACGACACAACATTTATATATTTGCGCGATCTAACCCAAAACACCTCCATTATGGATACTTACACATGTGTACATACATATCTTGCCAGCTGGATGTGGGTGCTTAAGCAAGTCCTCAACTCACAATTTTAATGCCGTAAGTTCAGATCATAGTCAGTGTTCATCGGTTATCCGTGGCTGTCTTATGGACTGAATGGTCCTCGTCATATGAATGTGGAATTTCCTCGATTCACTGAGGGCCACCAAAAGAGATGAGCACTGGCCCAGACTAATTTAAGCAAGGAGACACCTTAACGCGATGTAGAGATCTTTTGAATGATTGTTGTTTGATACCCACAGCCCATTGCTCTCAAACCTCAGAGCAACTCGGTTGGAGTCCCGATCCGAGTGTTTCACTGCGAATACTGTTGCCCTTCGTTAGCCCTCCAGACATTAGGAAGGCGGATGAAGGAAATGGGCCATCACTTATGAACTGACTGGCTTCATTCCAAGCTCACTGACCACGAATGTGTTCAGCTGTTGCTATAGCTAAATCCCCATTTAGTGGGGACTCTATTGACGCCTGGACGGAGCAAACTGCGCAGTGGGGACGGCACTACACCCGGCCACCTGTCTCCCCGGTGCTGTCCTTTACGCTTCGCAGCTGGCATTGATTTAAGAGAGCAGGGGCATAGGACGGGTTCAGACACCAGTGCCACGAATGCGTTTGGTGAATGTGGGTCACCGAGTGACACAGGGATACTCTCGTTGGGTGTTTCGTTCTACACGTTACACCCAAAGTGCGGAGTAACAAAGAAGTGGCAATGACCTGTGTTCGTGCGTGTGTGTTCGTGCGTGTGTGCGTGTACGCGTGCGTGTGTGTTCGTGCGTGTGTGTTCGTGCGTGTGTGTGCGTGTGTGTTCGTGCGTGTGTGTTCGTGCGTGTGTGTTCGTGCGTGCGCGCACATGCGAGCGCGTGCGCGTGCGTGCGTGTGTGTTCGTGCGTGTGTGCGCGTGTGCGCACGCGCGAGTGTTGTTGTTTTTGGGGTTAACCCACTGTGCCACAACCCTTGCGACTCAGCCTTAAATTATTAGCCTGTGGGGGGTGGCTGAACATCAGCGCTGGAGAGAAAAAGTCACGTGCATATTTCTCGGTGCCGGTCACACCACGTCTTATTGCCACGTCTTATCGGCATCGAGAATGCACAGGAGACAGGCTTGCAGGCATTGCTGGTCCATGGACCCGCGAGTGTCGTAAAACAAAATATATAATTGCTCACTTCACGGCGCTTGGCTGAACAATCTACACGTGCTCATGGACGTGGCCTGCGTTCGTTGTCACCTGCTCAGCGACGCATCTCTTTAAAACGCAGCAGCAAACATGTCGAGTCACTCATTCAATTGTCCACCTTTTACCAAAAGCCATGAATACAGTAAAAAAAAATAAGAAGCACCATCAGCAACATCTCACTTTGAACGACGGCCAAGTCATCACAATTTCTAGCAGGGTGAGTTCGTAGTCGGTGGCGGGGGGTGTGATCAGCACAAGGTTGGGCTGTAAAAAGTTTATATTTAGACTCGGGGTGGAGTCATGAGATAAAGGCATGAGTGTGCTTTGTGGGCCTCTTGTTTACGAACCCAGAAAGGGTTCCGGTTTTTATGGGTTCTAGACTACCCCAACGCGGTTTGGGATGCCAAAAAATATATGTATACAAAAAATAAGCCACAATTGTTGCTTAAAACATGGTAGACCACAGTACAACAGGAACTATTTCGATTTAAAGCTTTCGTGACTGCAGGGATTCATCTTCTTGGTTCTTTCGGTAAAGTCACGTAGAAGGGAAGTAAAAATAAAACATAATAAAATAAAATATTTTATTTTATTATGTAAAGTCACGTAGAAGGGAAGTGATAAAATAATAAAAATAAAACATAATAAAATAAAATATTTTATTATGTTTTATTTTTATTATTTTATTACTTCCCTTCTACGTGACTTTACCGAAAGAACCAAGAAGATGAACAGGAACTATTTCAAGTAGAATTCAGTGCTCATCTCCATTAGCGACCATGCCGCCAGTTGTATACATTCCACAATCATTTGGCAGGGGAATGGACTATTGTTGGGATGGCCCATGTTGGTGTCTCAACTCTCGTTCTTAATGTCTCGCCGCTTAAAGGATGATTTGCTGGATGTTTCATGGTTGGAATTTGAACTCCTGGCGTTACGATGTAAGTGTTTTACGACTGAAACAAGTGTCATCCAGCCAGAATGTAATGATTGAACGATACCGTGCATTCATTACATCTTGAGACAATACCTTATGTAGATGTGCTGTTTACATGTTTTTGCTGCTGGTTGGCACTTTACCAAACGCACTCGAATCACAATTGGAAGGTCGCAGGGTCAAATGCTGCCAAGGGGTAGAGTGAAAGCATCATTCATCAGTAATATTTAAATACGTACCTCTGTGGGAAATTTATTTTATTATGAACAGACTAGCGCCTCCTAAAGAAATGTGGAACTTCACCACTTGTTCAGGGCTTCAATGCAGATAAAAACTACCCTATGATTGACTAGTATTGCACTTTATATAAAATTAATTACGTACTGCATCATCACAGATCATATGATAGTTACCCCCAGAGTAATGCTCGTTAGTTGGGAACAATCCGGCATATGCTGCAACTACCGAGTGGCTTTCGTCTCACAGGATGCAATGTTCTGACGAGACCCGACTAAAAACTGGTCCAATGTTTTCTTGCTGGAAAAAAATGATCAGGAACGTCCTTAGTTTTAGAATAACACCGAATTATTTTGTCAGCACTCAGCAATGTGAATGCACTTTTACCAAAGTAAACGCATGCAAACTAAACTATTTCTCATTTCACCAGGTAAAGCACTGTAGCTTGTTTTCAGAAGCCACCTGGCTATCACCAATGATAGCTCAACGAAGGGGCTGATGAAGTGACAACTTACCGCAGACAAATACTGAAAGACACTCGCGTTGGGACGCCGATCCACGCCACACGACTGTGCAATTGTGACGACCCCAATGTGGCAATGAGCCGCCCCAATGCGGCGTGCAAAACACACGAGCGCGGAGACACTCGGCTTTGGATTTTCGTTGCACGCGCACCTGCCATGCCCTCCCACTCTAGAGGCATGTTTCTCAATGTGGAGGGAAAACCCGGAGGACCCGAAAAAAAATGCACGCGACCACACGGTGGAGAACATTGCAAACTCCAAACATGCAGCAGCATGCATCAGGGTTGGGACCAAACCCACGAGCTCCTGTACACCAGGCGAGGTAGTAAACATCTCGCCACGACGGTGCTGCATGTGGCGATGCTGCGATTGCTGTGGTCCACAATACAATGTAACAACATGAAACACGTTTGTCAATTCCACAATGTGAGGCCTTAAAGAAAACATAACTCGTGATGTTTTCAGGAATATCCCTTCCTCATAGCACATACATAGAGAGGCCAGAGGAGACAGGTTGGATAATAAGAGTTGGAGACTGCACTTTACACCATGGGGCCTGATGAGAATTGAATTTAAGAAGTCATCTGATTACCAAATGTGTTTTTTTATTGGCATACGCATAGTTACTGTAACTATTGAGTAACAGACGAGCCCCTTCGATAATAAAAACGTATTGTTATTCAATACACTCCTTATAT